TAAAATTATGATGATGGATGGGCCAGAGAGACAGTACAGTGAGTAAGGCATTTGCCTTGAATGCAGTTAACCCAGTGCAAATCCCCGTGCCATATATGCTCCACTGAGTCCCACCAGGAGTGAGCACCCCAAGTGCAGCTCAAAAACAAAACAGAAAATTATTATGGCGGGTTGGAGAAATAGTACATGGGTGAAGCCAGCTACTTACCTTGCATCCTGCTGTCCCCAGTTCAAATCCTTGGTACCACCTGTTCACTTGAGCACTGAACATCACCAGCTGTAGCTGAACCCCCCACCTCCCCAATTAAAATTATGGAAAATTTAAACATATAAAAATGTAAATTCTTACTATCTTTTACAGTTTGAACAATTATTAGTGTCAGTCTTGGTTTCATTCATGTGACCCCCCCTCCCCAGCCTTCACTCCTAGTTTTAGCTATAGTCTTATTATTATCATTTAATGTGGACCTAAGCAAGTCTATGACTTTATTATGACTTAGCTAAAACTTTCATATACTTCAGAGTTTAACATTGTTAATTTTTTTTTACCCCCACACTTGGTGGTGCTCAGGGCTTACTTTTGGTTCATTTCTGGTGGGGTTCGGGGGACCATGTGAGGGATTGAACATAGACGCGCGTGCAAAGCCTGTGCTCACTCAACTCATTGAGCTCTCTCTCCCGCACTTAAGGTGTATAACATTTTTTTTAACTACATATACAGTCATCCTTTAATATTGTCTTGCATAGTTACCTTTTATTTTGTGATAAAATATCAAAAATCTACTCTTTAGCAGATATCCATTTCATCCTTTATTATTTGGTGTAAATTTCAGTAATTATATTATTTCACCTGTAGGTATTTCATTCTTTATCTTTGGAAAGCAAGGATTTCTTTAAATTAAGTAACAGATATGACATGATGGGAATTGGGAGTGCAGAGTTTGGTGAAATTTAAATATGAATATAACTGTATAAATCTCATCCATATTTAGAATATTTCTTGCCCCTTGAAAGACTCTCTAAATCACCACAAGTAATTTTTTTGCAAAACCATTTAAACGTCAAACACAACTTTAATGCCATTGTAGCACCTAAAAGAGTCTATAGTAATTTCTAAAAATCAAATATCCTACCATTTGTAGTTGGTATGCCTTCCTCCTCTGCTTGCATGTGTGATTTGTTGAAAAGACAGCAACAGTATGTTAATTGTTCCTTGTTCTATAATTTACTATGGGTGGCCAGGAGTGCTGCTAAGAGCATCCCTGTGGGAGTGTTGAACAAGTTACTCAGTGGCTTTCTTGGTGGAACTTGTCGGTACATCCTAGTAAGGAAATTTCAGTGCAGTAAAGGACTGTGATTTTGAGTAACATCATCAGAGATAACTTGTTTCTGGTGTCTGGTAAAGTTAGCTCACCTTGCTGTGCTAGCCGGGTCTAGAAGAGTCTTTTGAAACTTGCATACTCTTTCTCGTGTTGAAACCTGTTAGAAAAACTCATTTGCTTTGTATGTAGGAGAGCATTTTGTTATGATTGGCTTTGTTTTTCCCTCTCGTAGAGGTCAAATGACCAGGGCAGTTGTGATTAGCTACTCAACTTTTTTTAGTGTTGTTTATAGCTGTGTCTGAATCATCTGTATACAGGGCTAGGTATGAGGAATGTTCTGTAGAAAAAAGCACTAAGCTACAAAAAGAATGAGATTTAGTTGGGTTTGATTGTCTTGAGTTCTTAATTTTTTTATTTTTCTATTATAGATCAGCTTGAACGGGTCTTTTTACGACTTGGCCATGCTGAGACAGATGAACAGTTACAGAGTATTATATCTAAATTTCTTCCTCCTGTTTTGCTCAAGCTGTCCAGCACCCAAGAAGGTGTACGCAAAAAGGTAAGCATGCTGGGACAGTTGGGAAATTAAATATTGAATAAATATATAATGGGTTCAGTCCATGTTGAATATATATGTAAAAAATTAAGGTCCTATTGTTTAGCTCTTCATTATCAAATATTATTACTAAAAGGTGAAAAGCTGTCACATCAAAATTTTCTGTTTGGGTAGGGCAGAGAACTTGAAGAGGTGTTGCGCACGCCTTGTACAGTATGCTGGAGGCCCAGAATTTTGTATTACATGTCTTCACTTCTCCTCCTTTGCTCTGATGATCCCCAAGCACCGCTTGGGAGGCATCTATAAAAGTTAAAATAAATTAAACAACACATAAGAAGATTTTTCAAAATGTCAGTGTGTGTCCTACATTTAACAGTTGCTTGCTTCGTTTTAAAAATAGTTTGTTAAGTGTATTTATACTGGACCTTCGGATCTTTGAGCTTTCCTCAAATTTCATTTCTTGGACGACTAATTGATTGGCAATGACTTCTTGGAGGCATGCCTGAGAGGGATTCTGAGGCCTGATTTGGGTTTAGTGGAGAAAGAGTATCTTTTAAAAATGTCTCTGATGTTTCCAGAAAGGAATGGACATTTCTTGTCATATATTTGATATGCCTGCTGTTAATACTGCTTTGCTGAGTAGATATGTATTTGGACATGCCACTTCCTATTTTAAACTCTTCTAAAGCCTTCTATGTAGCAAAGTGTTAAAAAGGTTCTTCATGCATTGGCTTCTGTTTATTTAGCTTTATCAGTCTCTTTAAACATTTGTTAAATATTGACTTGAAAGCCTTTTAAGTGCTGGTATTAGGAATACATTGATGAGTGAAAGAAATACCTAGTTGGGAGTCTTGTATTTAAAGCCAGGCAGAAAGTATCCAGTTAGGAATCATGATAAATGCAGGGTGGAAAAATATATTCTGTGAAAGAATGGCTTTCAGCTGAGTGTGGAGTAGAAGGGAGTCCTGTATTCTGTGTAGAAAGTAGCCAAGAGGAGAGATGGGGTAGGAGACTGTTAAAGATGGGAAGTCTTGTGTAGAGATTTTGAACTAGAATAGTATTTGAAGCCTTTCGAAGGCTAGAGAAGGCTGCAGGTATGCTAGACCAGTAGGTTTTAATCTTTTCACTCCTGTGCATTGGCACTGATTCAAGGACCACTATCAGTTAAGCGAGACTAACTTTATGCTGTGAAAAATCAGATTTTAGGATATTGATAATTATGATGATTCTGCTGTTGGAAGGAAATCAAGTAATCAAATAAATCAACTTATTTAAAATAAAAGCTGTGAGAAAAAAGAAAGCATATGCTTGTGGGAGTGATTGACATCACTGTGAATGACAATTTCCATAGAGTCTTAGGAATTGTTTTAGGTTAGAAGGTGGCTATTTCATTTAGCCTATTTCGTTCCTGTTTTTTTTTTTCCCTCTTCTCCAGTTCTATCATGGAATTTGATCCGCTATGTAGAGAAGTATGCTGGGTAATGCATAATTTCTAGGTCTCTTGAGGATCAGGGGTCTCAAGGATATTTTGTACTAACTGGATAGATTAAGGTATTCATCAGTCCGTGTTTGAAAAGGCTAAGAATATGTACCCTGGAGTTAAGTCTAGATCAGTCTTTCTCAAAGCCCCTGGGGGCTTCATCCTTCAGTGACCATCAGAGGTTTCTTTCTGTTTGGTTGTTCAGGAAAGTAGATTTCCAGGGTGCGTTGGAATGCTGATTTCTTTTCTTTTTTTTTTTTTTTTTTTTTTGCTTTTTGGGTCACACCTGGCAATGCACAGGGGTTACTCCTGGCTCATGCACTCAGGAATTACCCCTGGTGGTGCCTGGGGGGACCATATGGGATGCTGGGAATCGAACCCAGGTCAGCTGCGTGCAAGGCAAATGCCCTACCCGCTGTGCTATCACTCCAGCCCCTGACTTATTTTCTTAAGTAATCAGTTAGGTCAAGTACGTAAATAAGTTTCTGATCTGGACTCTGCTTCTTAATTTCCTTTGCCAAGTTAATGCCTCTGTTTACTCACCTGTAGGATGGATCGACACCATTTCTCCAGTTTAAAAATAAGACAAAAAATGCAAAGGGTATAAGCTTATTCCATGTAGGGACTTTTTGAGAATTGTCAACTGTTTTGTTATCATTTAATGAAAAATATTCATTGTAGATTTGTTTTTATTTTTTAAAAACCTGTTTCACTCTTGCTTTAGAGTCCTTTGAGCCTTTTTGAGTATCACTACAATTATCCTTAAGTTATCCTAAGTTAATAGGATAACTTTAAAGGATCCTCAATAGGATAGCTTTGAGGCTAGGGCACAAACTTTGAAATGAGGACTTGATTAGGCTTGTCCTCCAGAATAAATCCATATCTGTATCTTTTAAATTAAATTTTGTATTCTCCATGGTATATGTCCAGTTTGGGCTGTATATCAGTAACGTGGACTAGGGGTGACTTAAACAATAGGCATTTATCTCTTACAATTCCAGAGATTGGAATTCTGAGAACAGGGTGCCAGTGGGGCTGTTTTTTTTTTTTAGAAGTATGCATACTTTATTCAATAAAAACTGAACCAGATGCATTCCCATCAATAGTGGATAAAGGATCTTTTAAAATCATATCTCTGCCAGAACAGATTGCTTCCTGTATTTTTTTTTAAGGGGGAGGTCACACCCAGGAGTGTTCAGGGGTTACTCCTGGCTCTGCACTCAGAAATTACTCCTGGCAGTGCTCAGGGGATCACATGGGATGCTGGGAATTGAACCTGGGCTGGCCCCATGCAAGGCAAATGCCTTACCTGCTGTGCTGTCGCTCCAGTCCCGCTTCCTGTATTTTTAATGTATGTCATTCTTACTGTGTTAGTTAATATCTCATTGTTCTTTTGATTTACATTTCCCTGATTAAAATGAATGAATATCACTGTTTCATAAACCTTTCATCTGTACATCTTCTCTGAGGAAATGTATGTTAGGCTTTTCTCCATTTTTGATTTTGATTTTTTGGTTTTGTTAAGTTTTCTAATAGTACTACACTTCATTCATGACACAACTGGAAAGGATATTAATCCGTAAAGTACATGGGTTGTGTCAAAAGCCTAATCTTTGTATATTTTATTTATCTTTTAAATTTTAAAAATCTGGAACGCTTCACGAATTTGCGTGTCATCCTTGCGTGGGGCCAGGCTGATCTTCCCTGTATCATTCCAGTTTTAGTACATGTGCTGCTACAGCGAGGACGGGGGCTGGGTTCTTTGTCCAGGAGCTTTGTGTTGTTTACAGCTGGCTGCGCCATCTTCTCTATCCTCACATGGCAGAGAGAACGCTAGTCCTTTCGTTCCCTTATAAGGATACAATCCCATCAAGGGAGCTTCACTTTCAGAACCTCGTCCAAACTTGATTTCCCCCTTAGACTCTTCCACTGGTTTCAGGGAGACGCAAACAGTCCATATTGCAAGCCTTTGCTTATAGTTCTTATGAAGACTAATAAAGGCCCCTTTGGGAGCTCAGCTTTGACTAACATCATAAAACGAAATTCATTAAGTCAGTTCTCATGTGTGTATTCCTGGAGCACAGCATTTTAGACAAGATTCTGATCCTCCCTTTCTGGGATGTCAAATTTATATCCTTTACGAGAACTGAGTATCTACTACACCTCAAAATAAGTAATTTTACTTGGTGGTGGTGGGGTGTCTTACAAATGGTGCTTACAAGGTACTAGAGACGCTGGTGATACTCTGGGTGAAACGTGGCCAACTGGGACAGTGAGTTTAGCGCCAGGACCCAAGGATGTGGTGCCGTGACCAACAGGGCCACCCTGTTGATGCTTGGGGGCCACCAGGGTCATACCCAGTGGTGGTGGGGAGGCCTCCAGGGCTATACTTGACAGTACTTGAGAGTAGCATGTGATGGAGCTAGGAATGGAACCAGGCTTGGGTATATGCAAGGCGTCTGCCTTGATCCCATTCTATCCTTGCATCCCCAAGTAAATATTTGAAGAATAAGTTGTTTTTATTATTTTCAGTTCCTATTTTTTTTGTATCTTAGGTTATGGAACTGTTGGTCCATTTGAACAAGCGTATAAAAAGCCGACCCAAAATACAGCTCCCAGTAGAGACACTGTTGGTTCAGTACCAGGATCCTGCTGCAGTTTCCTTTGTCACAGTAAGTTTTACTTTGGAATATATTCTCACGTAACACAAATTTTCTTTTATCGTGTTTTTCACGTGCCATCGAAATATTGCCAAACTTAGAATTTTACCTTAGACAACTTCTAAATAAAACATGAGAATTTTTAGAAACAGCACACTGTTATTTACAAGGAGTATCTATCCAGAGGAAATTATTACCTTAAAGGATATGGTAAGAACAAGAAAATGTATGACTGTTCACATTGGGCAAAAGGTCAGTAATGGGGCTGGAGTGGTAATCCAGCAGGAAGCACACTTGCCTTGCACAGAGCTGACCTGGAGTTGTTTCCTGGCATCCCATATGGGTCCCCGGGTCCCTCCAGGAGTGATCCCTTCCAAGCACAGAGCCGGGGGTAAGTCCTGAGCGCCTCCAGGTGTGATCCAAAAACATGAACATAAAAGGATTGTCAGTAAAGTGACCTGTCAGGTATGTTGATATTTTAAAGAATGGTTGCTTCTGAGTAAAAGATTAGAAAGATGAGATGAGTTTGAGCCAAGAGAAGGGTTATGAGGCATCGGCACAAATGAAGTGTAAAGGTGGATAAAAGGGGCCAAACGGCAAGAAGAGAGTGAAAGGCTGAATTTAAATATAGGTGTACGAACACCTTGCACACGGCTGACCGGGCTGGCCCGCGCTTGATTCCTCCGCCCCTCTCGGAGAGCCTGGCAAGCTACCTAGAATAACTCACCCGCACGGCAAAGCCTGGCAAGCTCCCCATGACGTATTCGATAGGCCAAACACAGTAAGAACAAGTTCCACAATGTTAGTGGACCTGCTCGAGCAAATCGATGAACAACTGGAGGACAGTGACAGTACATTTATATGTGTGTGTGTGTGTGTGTGTGTGTGTGTGTGTGTATGCCACTTTGTGTTTAGAAAGTTGAACACAGTGGAAGTTGGTAAGAAATAATTCCTATTTTTATGCCCATGAATATTAAATTTTAAGTCATTGATTCTTCATGATGACATGTGATACTATCTTTAAAAAATATTTGTTTTTGGGTGGTACTTTGAGCTTATGGTGCTCCGGGATCACTCCTGACAGGGCTTGGAGGACCGTAATATGGGGTGCTGAGGATTCAACCTGGGTTGGCCACATGCAAGGCAAGTGCCCTATCAGCTGTATTATCTCACTAGCCCCTGATATTTTTTTTTTCTCTGTCATTCCTAGAATTGAAGCTGAATATTTTGGGCTTATCTAGCACCTGTGAGTCCAGCATTTATGCCTCCTCTGAACATGTTACAGGTGTTCTTCCTTTGTTTTGTCAGAAGCACTGTGTGCCCATAAAACTGCGGATAGTGTGTCTTTAAAGGAATAATCTTGGGAAGCTTATTCTAAGGGGAAGAAGCTTTCAGAAAGCAAATTTTTGGTTATGAGTAAATCTAGAGAGGCACTTAATAAATTTGCTTAAAATGAGGCACACAGGTGGATCATGGTGATGCAAACTCTGTACCGCACCTTGTTTCCTTGGGCCAGTGATACGGGTGAGGAATCAGCATTGCAGTGTAACACGTTGTTTCAGAAATTATGTGCTTTCCTGAATCTTGAAAGGATTGATGCAAACTGCACGGGAGATTTAATGCTTACTATGTAATTATGTAAGTTTAGATCAGTCAGATGATGATGATTCTTTTTTTGGTGGGGGCTGGGGGAGGGGAGGTCAGACATACTCAGCAGTGCCTGGGGATTCCTCCTGGCTCTGTGCTCAGGGATGACTCCTGACAGGCTCAGGGGACCTAGGTAGTGTCCTACCCACTATACTACCTCTATGATTTGGTTGTTGATCTTGTGGGTGGTATGGGTGCCTCCCCGTTGATGCTCAGGAGGTCTGGGGGCCCACCAGCCAACCAGACCAGAAGTTCAGTCTCAGGGCCCAAGGATAGCATGCTGCTTGGACTCAGCAGTGCCGGGAGCCTCAGGGGCTGCCCTTGTTAGTGCTCAGGGACCAAATGGTGCCAGGAATTGAACCCAGGTTGGCCTATGCTAGGCGTGCTCCCTAACCGCTCTACTGTCTCGACCCAAATGGTTACTCTTGATTACTGAATGATTAATAGCATATACAAGTGGTTTATTCCGCCCTCCCCAGCTTTATTGAGGCATAATTGACAAAAAGGTATGTATTTAAAGTCTGCAGCATGTGTTACGTGAGTGCTTTAGATTATGTCCTGAAGCCCATTTTTAAGCATTTGTTGTAAGGGGGACGGGATTAACACTGTTCCTTGAGTTATAGTAGTTACATTTTAATATGTGTGATGAAATACGAAGTGAGAGAGAGAGAAAAAAAGATGAAGCGAGAAGGTAATTTCTTTTTTATATATCAGTACTTCCCAAAGTTGTCGACTATATGTTTTTGTAGAAATGCTCTTTTTCTTATACTTGCTTTTCTCTTGTTGCACTAGAATTTTACTATAATTTATGTTAAGATGGGCTATCCTCGCCTACCAGTGGAAAAACAGTGTGAACTGGCCCCCACACTTCTCACTGCCATGGAAGGGAAGCCTCAGCCCCAGCAGGATAGGTATGGTTTCCTCAGCTCTATTGCCACCTGCAAGTGTTAACGGCCTTTCCAAAAATATCTCAGCACATTTGGTTTCAGTTGGGCAAATACGTACTTACACTTGAGTTTTTTTTTCAGGGGACAAATAATTTGTGTCAGTATTGTTGTTTTGTTCCTGTAAATTTATTTTGTGAGCATATTGAAAAATGTGCAGCATTAACATTTTTCTCAGTATTCATGCACATTATTTCTTTGCAGTTATTTTGAAACCGCTAGTCTTATGTACTGGTAAGAATTAGGACTATAAATGATTTTCAACAAAACTTTCTACACTGGGGGGGCGGTGTGTGTAAGTTTCAGAGCAGTTTTCTTAAGGAACAGATTATTTGTTTATATTATGGGAACTGGAGAGGCCAGAAGAGATTTAAAATAATACTGAAATTCTTAGTTTCTAGACTCAATCTAAAGTTCTGTATTGTAGGTCTTTACTGGTGAGAATCACCGTGGAGAGAACAGAAGTTGTGTGGGAAGAGGTGCTAAATAATATTTTCAGTTCATTTTTCAGAGCATATACAGTTTACTAGATTGTAATAATATTTACTAATTAAAAAACACGTTGGAGAACTGTTTGAACTTGATTTTATGTATTTTAAGAATAGCAAAAGGTGTCCTGAAGGACTTACCGAAACTTGTGTGACTTAAATTCACATGGTAGAGACTTTAACGTTATATTCAACATGCTGACAATACATTTTAAATTTGTTTAGATTTAGAGTAACTATTTTAGTGCGGAAATGAAAATGGCATAAGTTGCACTTTTCCTAAATAAATTTCAGGTAGTTTAATAAAAGTCTTTTGTGTCAACTCTAGATAGCAACACTGAGCTCATGTTGTCTATTTTTTCCAGGTGCTTTTAGTGAAGAGCCAGACTGGCTAAATATCATTTCTGAATGAGAACTCAGCTAGAAGTTAGCAGGAAATCTATGCCAGTCTCTAGTTTGGCAGTTGAGAATGAGTAGTATTGTCAATTAATAGTTGGCAGTTGTAGTAGTTGCTACTTTTTTTTTTTTTCTGTGTAGATTTTTGTCTGTTATTTGCATGTCTAAAAATCTTATGTTTTAAGTAGTTGCAATAAATGTAATTGTTTTTTCAGCTTAATGCATCTTTTAATACCAACCCTTTTTCACATGAAATACCCTGTTGAATCATCAAAATCAGCCTCTCCGTTTAATCTTGCTGAGAAGCCAAAGACTGTGCAGCTGCTTCTGGACTTCATGCTAGATGTCCTTCTGATGCCTTATGGGTGAGTTGAAAGAAACGAAAGAATCCTTGTTCTGACGATTTCTACTGTGTAAGTAGAAATATGTGTATATATATTTGTGTATATATATGTGTGTATATATATGTGTGTGTGTATATATATATATACACACACACACACATATATATATATATATACATATATACATATAAAGTACTATTTTTCAATGGATCCAACCTTCTCTTGTAAAATGGGTATCTGGAGTTTCGTTTGCTACAGCCCTGATCTCT